GAAGACAGGCTGGGAGAGTTGGGGCTGTTCAGCCTGGAGAAGAGAAGGCTCCTGGGAGACCTCACAGCAGCCTTCCAGTACCTGGAGGGGGTACAGGAAAGCTGGGGAGAGGCTTTTTACAAGGGCTTGTAGTGAAAGGACAAGGTGTAATGGATTAAAACTGGAAGAGGGGAGATTTAGGTTAGACATTAGGAGGAAATTCTTCAGTGTGAGGGTGGTGAGACACTGGCACAGGTTGCCCAGGGAAGTTATTTATATCCCATTCCTGGAGGTGTTCAAGGGCAGGTTGGATGGGGCTCTGAGCAACCTGGTCTAGTGGGAGGTGTCCCTGCCTGTGCAGGAGGGTGGGAACAAGATGATCTTTAAGGTCCCTTCCAACTCAAACTATTCTGAGATTGATTATCATGGACCCATTGTCCATGATAAAAAAAACCTGGGTTTTGGATTGGTACCATGCTTTTGTAGGTTACAAGTGACATGCTTGCCGTTCTACTGACTATGCCAGGTAGGAGACTGAGACCCCAAAGAAGTGAGCTGTAGCTCAAGAAACCTGAGGATCATAAGGGTCAGCACCTCAAGATGAAGAAACTGCAGTGGTAAAGCAGAATATAGAATGGCAGCACATCCTCCTTCTTGACAAAAATGGTGGCTAATGAGAAGCTAGAGGTACAAGGATCTCAAAGCACAAAGTTTCACTCGCTGCAAGAGTCAATCAGAAGATCAGTATTGTCTCAACACTGTCATCAGTGACTATACCCCAAGAACTGGACTAACATCTTGACATGAGTTGGCAGTGGCTGCTGCAGATGCAGAAACCGTGGAGAACGGACTGAGGTATGGACAGTGTTGGTACCTGGTACAGGTCTATTCCACTGGAGCAGCAAAGGGCAAAACTACTGCCAAGGAAGATGGATCACGCTTGCTGGGCCAACACCCATGAAGCCTCAGTTGAACTTTCCTCATTATAATGTTATTATAACACCAAAACACACCTCCTGGTAAGAAGCTACCCGCCTCCAAAGCTGGCCACACCTCAGACACTCCTCTCAGGGCATGCGTGGAAGCCTCACTCCAGACAGGTAGAGATTGGCACATCTCCATGGGACAGAGGTGGACTGGTCCAAGGAGCAAGGTGTGCTACCCAGGATAAAAGATGGTTCCTTAGTAACCAAACTTCAAAGATATTCCCCACTGAAAGATCACAACGATCGAAGAAGAAGCAGCAGAACGCCTTCTGGATTCAGGACCATAGGGACACCTTTGGACCCGTGGTGGTAGCTGTTATCCTCCGTCCCCTCCTCTTTACCTAATCTTTCCTATTTTTCTTCCTTTCACAGAATCCCAGAATCCTAGGGGTTGGAAGGGACCTTGAAAGATCACCCAGTCCAACCCTCTTGCCAGAGCAGGGTCACCTAGAGCACATCACACAGGAACATGTCCAGGTGGGTTTCTATCACAAGCCACTTTGCAGGCAAGACTAATAAGGTCATTGTGTGTTGATAAATTAACTCCCTGGACTTGTTGCCATTTCATTTTTGCACTTGGGGATCACAGCTGAAACGAACCATCACACGTCCACTGAGGAGTGGACCATGACAGGTACCTCTCAGCTGGGTGTTGACTAAGGCCAGGACCAAGAGAGTCTAAGATTTCTTTGGGCCTTAAGCAGCAAATAAATAAAACATTGAAGAAAGAAATCCAGGAGAAGCATAGGAAGGAGCATAGATGTACGAGTACTGAACCACCCCCTTTGACCACACTCCCAGTGCCCTATGAAAGAGCTAGTTTGGGTCCTGTCATGCCCCTGGATTTGGTAAAGAACAAAGAAGGGCCTGCTGGGGTCCCTCACATGCTTGTAGTGGCAATAGGATGTGCCACTGTTCTGTACATTGGGGAAAGTACAAGAGGAGAAAGTACAAAAACTGCAGAGCATTATCATTTAAAAGGCTCTCAGATCCCCAGCACAGAATTCAAGCTGGGCCTATAGTGAGCAGAGGGTTGGATTGAGGGCCTCCAAACATCCCCCAATGCCTTACCTTTCCATCTGTCTAAAATGCTCAGTACCTGCTACCCACCCTCACTGTACAATAAGGCCTGGCAACAGAAGATGTGGATGTGGTTGCACATGCAAACGGGGATCAAGATACTTGGCCCCAGAGCAAGCATGGTTTGGAGGTAGCCAGAGAAAGGGTTGCAGAGAGCAGGCAAAAGGTGTGAACTAAAACCAGAATGCAGAAACAATCAGCCAGCTGATGTTCCCTGCACCAATACTCCATTTCCAAAGACAATTAATAGGACAAGGTCTGGAGAGAGGCAGCTTATTCTTGACTCAACCCTGGGAGACTAAATAGGGACTAGCGTGTAGGTGTGTCCTGGTTTGAGCCAGGATGAAGCCAACTTTTTTTTACTGTTGTTTTCTTTTTTTTTTATCTTCAATAAGCTCTCTTTTAACTAGCAGCAGGTTTTCCAGCTAGTGGACTGATAATGGTGGAATGTTTATGTTATCGCTGAGACACCAGGGTCACTTTGCTCTGCTTGTTGAAACTGCAGCCTCAGATGCAAAGGGAGCTGAAGAGTTGTATCTGTGAGGAGTGGACTAGATGGACAGCAAAACTGACCCAAGTATTCCATTCCATATATCCACATAAGCTTGGTGTAAGGTCAGGGATCACAGAAGTCAAGCCCCTTCCTGCTTCTTCTTCCTTTCCTCTCCCATCTATGGCTGGTGCCCAGGGACCATCCGTCCATCACCACTGATCCCCAGGCCCGTGCATTCCTGACCCTCCTCACTCTCCCTCAGCTCCTGTCTGCTCTGCCCTCTCTCTGGCAGCTCCAGGACATTTGGGAACTGCTCCCAGCTCAGGAGATGCCCTGGGAGTTGCTGGGGGTGGGGGGAAGGAAATAGGGCTTCGCACATTCCTGAACACATTTGTATATAATTGTACTTATTGTTTTATCATTAGTGTTTAATTAAAGCTGTCTGGTTTAGTTTTCAATCCAGAAAGTCTTTCTCCTTAATTCTCTCTCTCCTTTCCCCACCTGGGTGGGAGGGGATGGAGAGCATTATTGTCACTGGTTGAATTGCTGATCCTGAGTCAAACCATGACAAGGTGAAGATCTGGGCCCAGCACAGATGCTGTGAGATTATTTAAGGTGGGAGGGAGGGAAGAAAGTGATAACAGTTTACAGGGAATGAGAACAAGCAGTGACAGCCCACTGTAGTCGCAGGACAGGAGGGGATATGTTATAGGGAAGGACACCAACACAAAGACAAGAGACTAAGCCAAATTACAAGAGAAACTGAGACAACTAGGATGCCAAGGGGAGAAGCATTAATAGAACTTGAGGTTGAGAAAAAGGGAAGGCCAAGAAGTGATGAAGAAAGGAATGTGGTGCAGCAAAGAGGCAAAGAAAATCAGTTGAGAAACGGAGAAGGGAGAACACCTGGACAGCAGGTGAGGAACAGCAGAGGCACTAATGTTCTCTTTTGCCAAGCAGAGAAGAACCTGACCAGACAGATCAGTAAAAACCAAAAGGCAGGGTCTCTGCCCCAGAGCACTTTCTGCATGAGCAGGACACAGCAACATTTCCCTTCCTTTTAGATAGCACAAGCACCAAATTGTTGTGCATGCATTACAGCAATTGCAGAACAGTGTGTGTAGGTGTCAGTGCCAAAGAGCTGGATGGGAGACACTGGGGAAGCTGCAGCTCAGAATACAGCAAGAAGTCCTGTCTGCAGTTTCTGCTCCTGATTGTTACAGTAGCAAGACAAAAACTAAGCCTGTGAGGTAGAGGTATAAAGAAGCAGGTACATGGTGGAAGAGGAAGGGTAAGTGCTCCCTGGCTAATTCCCCAGTTTTGACTACCATAGCAGTCAGGTTCCTCAAGGAGGTGAGAAAATGTACCACAACTTCGCTCACAGCAGGTGGCAAGAGAAATGAAATAAATCCTTCTCTGACCCCTACACCTTAGGAAGGAAAAAGGGAGCTTTTTCACACAGGAAAGCCCTTCTGCTGGCTCACAGAACTGAAGCCTGAGGCTACAGCAAAATCAGGTCCCTTAAGCTTTATTTGCATATGAGCTATCAATAGAACAAAATCTGAGACAAAAGGGGAGACAGAAACTGAGAGTCTGATCTCTCTTGAAAATGAGTGGGTTTATACCCCACAGTTCAACACACTTGCAAGCAGCTCCAACAGAGACACAGAGAAAGTTGTCATTTTGGCAATATTAATTCTCCCCCCTTTAATATACAAAATACTTTACAATTAAAAAACATTTTCTTCAATAGAATATACAGATATTTATAATTAACAAGATTCAGTTACACACAAGATGTGGAACTTCTGCACAAAGGAAAACAATGATAGATGATCAAGTGAAAATTAAGACTTGAACCTTTTCCCACCATATTCTGGGAAGGGAGGTTAACTTTTAGACTTTCATTCCTATGACATTCTCTCAAGTCTGAATTCTGGGATCTCCTCTTACCGTGACAGGTTAAGGGCCCTCACCTGCATCTCTAGCAAAAAATACTCTGCTCTTAAAAGTTTCATTAAGAGACTCTGATAAACTAGAATCTGGCTGTACCATGAAGTTACCAGTACCCAGAAAAGGGGACTGTTGCCCTCAGTTTTCCCCAGCAACCCATATATACACACATGCAAGCACAGACACAGGGGAAGCATGCTCAAAAGCCAGGATTTTTCCCCCTTGCATCAAGTGGCAATCCCACCCCACCCAAACCACCTGCAATTGAGACATGTCCAGCAGGTAGTCTCTGCAGAACATCTATCCTAAGGTCTCACAGCCAAGCTGGACATTACTGCAAATACAGTCCGGCAAGAGGGCTGGATGTTGCCATCTTCCCCCACTTTGATCACCTGCCTACCAGCAGAGTGTCAGTCAGTAATGGAGATGATTAACATGAACCGTTCAGAGATGTTCAGACCACAGAGGACAGGCAGGGAAAGTCACACACTTCAGAGGGAGGTCCTTGAAAAAAAACAGTTGCCAATGATCTGCCCTACCAGAGCAAAGATGTGTGAACCCTAGTGAACATTTCCTCTCTAAGAAAGGTCACTGCTGGGCTAGGCCAACACTGCACTCACAAGGGAAGTCATCCCGGAGTCACTGCTGAAGGCCAAATGCCTGAAGCAGTGTGGGAAGGTCCCGGGCATCAGCTGCCCTATACAGGTCACTCTGCCCCAGCATGGAAAGGGCCATACGGAGGGTGCTCCAGATGTTGTCAGACATGGCACCTTGCTGCCCCCGTGGGCCTCGGCTCTTCTGCTGCATATGCAAAGCCTCCAAGAAGTGCTCCACAGCCTCACTGTCAAGATGAGAACATACATATGCTTACTGGAGAAAACTCCACATCTAATGACATAATGCCCCTCCTCAATTTGCTTCTGAACTACTTCTTCCCCTCCAAAACAGTTTCTCCTTTTCACCAGATCCTGCCCAGCTCCAGAACCACCAGAGATTCCCCCCCTTCTCCCCCTTAACAGAAGCTGCAGTCAGATGGCCCCTACTCCAACAACACCAACATCACACACTGTTCTCAGGGTAGCGTTGACACACTCGCTCTGCTCTCCCATGCCAAGGGAAGGCTGCAAGCAGCAATGCACAGCTGTAGCGACCTCTTGCAGCCTCTCCCCAAAAAACCACTCACTCTCAGGGGTCACAGCAGAACTGCCCAGCCCATGCTCACCGGTGGGCCCCTAAGTTGATGCAACTGATGCCCAAGTTGTAGCGCGAGCGGATGTATCCTGGCTGGATCTCCAGTGCCCGACGATAGGCGGCCACAGCCTCCTCACTCCGGTTCCCATTTGCCAGCGTGGCACCAAGCTTGTTCCACAGAAGATGGTCCTGGATAAGGGGGCAGAAAGGGCTGAGAGAAACTGGATCTTTTTCAACTCCAAGCCACCCATCCGTTTCCCATGTGTTTTACTCCTTCAAAAACCTGCCTCTCATACAAGCAGCACCTCCACCCAAACCCTGACTCATGAATCAACCAGGTACCTCCAGCATCCACAATCTGCCCTTCCTTACATTGGGGCGCACACTGAGAGCAGAAGTGAAGCAGTCCACAGCCTTCTCGTACTCGCCACTGAGGTTGAAAAGGACCCCCAGGCCACACTGAACATCAGGATCCACAGACGAGGGGTTGCTGCGCACAGCTGCTAAGAACAGCTCTTTCACCTCCGTGAACAAGGAGCTGGAAAAGCACAGAACAAGAACATTGGTGTGCTGGGGAGAGAGCTGGCTTTGGGCCGCTCCTGCCTGGACCAGCTTCAACCTTTCCAAGAAGCCTTGCAGCTGAAGGTTGGAATTTGTAACCTTAACTCACTCAGACAGCAGGGAGCCTAGGACACGCTTGGAAGGCCCCAGGTCTGTCCCAGCGACACTCTCGCCAGGTTCCTTCTCCAGCAGGTGGGCATAGTCTGGTTTGTGGTGCAGCCAGTCCCGGAGCGTCTCACAGGCTTGCTTCTGCAGGGACTCGTTGGTGAAGCTGACTGCTAGAGCCATAAGTGCTGTGAGGTTCCCAGGCTGCAGCTCCAAGCACCTGCAGGGCAAAGGAAGAGTGAGAACAGTATTAAATCAGTCTAGGAGATATGCAGGTACAGGAGGTAGCACAAGGAAAACCAAGCACACCATGCAAGCCATAGGGTCCTTGTGGCACTATGAACTAGACAAGGAGACATGCTCAAACACTCTTCTGCAACACTCACTGTCTGAGGGCACTGATTGCCAAAAGCTCCTGTTCATTCTCTGCTTGGGTAGTTCCCAGATACTGCCAAGCCTGGAAAAAGATAAAGATGCACAAAGTCAAGACTTCTTCAAATCCAGATAAAAAGGACCGGCTCATAAACCACAGGTGCAGAGATTAAATCCACCATATTATCCCACACACTTCAAGGGTGAGACCAAATATATGCACATATACACATTAGCCACAGATACAAATTTATCTCAGAAGACATACAGACTTTATGGCACATAAGTCAT